CTGTGTCTCTCTCTGTCTCTCCCCCCCTCTCACTCTCTCTTTCTCTCCCTCTCTCTCTCTTTCTCCTTTGTTCTCTCTTTCCCTCTCTCTCTCTTTCTGCCCTTGGTCTGCCAGTCCTCTTCCCCACTCTCTTTCTCTCTCTCTCTCCTCTCTCTCTCTTTCCCTCTCTCTTTCTCTCCCCCTCTCTCTCTTTATCTCTCTCTCTCTCCTCCCCTCTCTCTCCCTCTCTCCGATCTTCTGCTCACCTGGCAAGCTGGCTTCAAGCTGTTCTCCAACAAGCTCAGGGGTAGGCAACCTCGACTCTTTTATGACTCACGGACTTCAACTCCCAGAATTCCTGAACCAGCATAGCTGGGCTAGCTAGCTCTCTCCTGCCCTTCCTGCTTCCTGCAGAGATGCAGCAAAGGGAGGAGCTCCGCCCAGTAAGCTTTTCAGCTCATCGGGGAACACTGTGAGTCCACTCTCTTTTTTACACACACACACACACACACACAGAGAGAGAGAGAGAGAGAGAGAGAGAGAGAGAGAGAGAGAGGAGAAGCGCAAGTGCCTCTGTCTCTGTCTCTCTCTGCAAATGGCAAAGGAGGCTGGGAGCCGCAGGGGAAGGCTCAAAGAGCCACATGCAGCTCCTGAGCCGCAGGTTGCCGACCTGTGCTTTAGGGAAACACCCAAAAGGGAACATTTTTAGCTACTTCTACTTTCTCCCTTCTTATCAATAGTGTGCCAGACTTACTGGGTGAAATTTTTCTTATGTGTGTCAGCTTTGCTGGGTGGATTGCTTATGTAATCAGAAAGAATAAATACAAGGATTTCTTGTCATTCGGGGCTTCTCTCTTTTAGTTACAACTTATGGTTTCCTGTATTTTTTTTTATCAAGCAAAACCCCAGAACCTGCACAACAGCATGAAGCCCACACATCTTAAACTTGTCAAGGTTGAAAAGTGCTAAGTTGATGGGAGAGGAAATTATTAAATGCCTTCACTGCAATCTGAATTGGCTTTAAGCTGTGTACTCCCAGATTGATTGGTTTTGTTTCTAAACTTTGAGACAACTAGATATGAGAAGGGTATTGGAAGCATTTTTGTAGGGTGATTGGCAAGAGCTGAAGACTTAAGATATTTTTCTTCAATATTTAATGCCCAGCTCTCATTACTACACTGCAAAGTATATCTGCAAATCTTTATTTTTTCTAAAATAACGCTAACCATAGTTTGAATGTTTCTTTTTCATTCCAGATCTTAAGCAAGTGCTAACAAAGAGAGTGAGCAGGAACAAAGCCACTTAAAAAGACAGGTCCTGCTGGATTAGATCAGAAGATTATGTAGATCAGCACTTGTTTCTAGTCTTAAGTAATACCTTCATGAGACAATAATAATAGCAATAAAGTTTCAGTTTCTTTAGGAACCTACACCAAGAGGTGCATCAGTACCGATATGGCTACAATAAATAACTGTTGTGACTAATAGCCTTGTCTGCTATAATTTGTCTAATATTTTAGTTGACCGAGTTGGAAGGCATTACTTTATTTTTTCAGAAAGCAGGCAGTTAACAAGAACAACAATTTTGGGACCATTGTAGGTCAGGTGTGACTCCCTTTGAAATGTGTAAGCCAGGGCTTTTCAACCTTTTCACCCATTGTACCACTTTTAGGATATGGCAATATCTGAGTACCACCAGTCGCCTAGCAAGGTGTCAAAAAAAAAAGAGGAAAAAGTGATAAAGTACAGGTAGTCCTTGACTTACAACAGTTCGCTTAGTGACTGTTCGAAGTTACAATGGCACTGAAAAAAGTGCCCCCCAAGCCTCAGCCAAGCAAGACACCTGCCTGCCCCATCCGGCGGCGCTCTTCCTCCTGTCCGAGGTGTTCATTGTTGTGAGCATTTCTGTTGAGGATTGGCAGTGGGGGTGGGGTGGGGAGGGTTTGGTTTTTATTCCCCCTGTCTGCTGGGTGGTTGCAGCAGGTTTTGGTCACTTCACATGACCCTGGGACACTGGGACCGTCATAAATATAAATCAGTTGCCAAGCATCTGAATGTAAATCACAAGATCCTGGAGATGCTGCAACATTCCAGCTGATTGGTGCTTCTTCAGGGCTCAGCAGAAGCACCAGGATCAGCGCCGAGCTCCAGCTAGAGCCTGGTGCTGATCCTGGTGCTTCCACTGAGCCCTGACAGCCCCGAAGCGCCGATCATCTGGAAAGCGGCACTGATCCTGGCGCTTCCGCTGAGCCCTGACAGCCCCAAAGAAGCGCCGATCATCTGGAAAGCGGCACTGATCCTGGCGCTTCCGCTGAGCCCTGACAGCCCTGCAGCTCCAGCCATCTCTCGCTCAGGCTTGTGCGGTGCTGCCACCGGTTCAGCTCATTCCCCTCCCCTGCTACCACTTTTCTAGGATGGTCGCGTACCACCTACCAGGTGCCAATGTACCACAGGTGGTACCCGGACCACTGGTTGAAAAGCCCTGGTGTAAGCTAATACTGATGCTTCCTTACATATACCTCTGGTTAAAATTAGAATAACAGAGTTGGAAGGGATCTTGTAGGTCATCTAGTCCAATCCCCCCCCCCAAGCAGGAGACCCTCCTACACCATTTCTGACAGATGGCAGTCCAGTGTCTTCTTGAAAGTTTCCAGTGATGAAACTCCCACTACATCTGGAGGCAAACTGTTCCATTGGTTGATTGTTCTCACTGTCAGAAAATTTCTCCTTATTTCTAGGTTGAATCTCTCCTTGATCAGTTTCCATCCGTTATTCCTTGTCTGGCCTTCAGGTGCTTTTGAAAACAGACTGATCCCTTCCTCTCTGTGACAGCCCCTCAAATATTGGAACACTGCTATCATGTCTCCCCTGGTCTTTGTCTTCACTAGACTAGCCATTCCCAGTTCCTGTAACCTTTCTTCATATGTTTTAGCCTCCAGTCCCTTAATCATCTTTGTTGCTCTTCTCTGCACTTTTTCTAGAGTCTCAACATCTTTTCTATAGTGTGGAGACCAAAATTGATTGCAGTATTTTAGGTGTGGTTTTACTAAGGCTTTATAGAATGATACTAGTACCTCACGTGATCTTGATTGAATCCTTCTGTTAATGTAATTTAGGATTTTTTGGCTGGTGCTGCACACTGTTGGCACATATTTAATTGATTGTCCACTAAGACTCCAAGATCCCTCTCACAGTTACTGCTATTAAGCCTGGTTTCAAACTTTTGGTTTTTCTTGCCTAAGTGTAAGACTTTATGTTTCTCCACACTGAATTTCATTTTGTTAGATAGGATCCAGTATTCAAGTCTGTCAAGATCCATCTGGATCTTGAGCCTATTATTCCTGCCAGTTTAGTATCATCAGATGGTCTCCATACCATATTTAATTGTCACTATAGATTTCTGTCAACTTAGTTGTGACAGGTAGATATGAATATTAAACTCATGTAAATCCTGAAATTCTTGCAGATTAAATATTTTCAATGTCTTTTCATTTTAAGGACAAGCCTGAACGATTCCCCTCCCTATTCCTTAAGGAGTTTATTGTGTAATTCCTCAGATTTAATTTTGATCTTTGCCATGTAATTTAAAAAACAGAATTATCACTAATATTATTTTCCGCCCTAACCTAAGGGCTGCAGCTGGATTATAATTTATTTCGCTTAGTTCTTCAATAAATCTGTAAGATAAATTAAGCTGCAAGAAGAAGAACTTGTCCCAAACTACTATGTAAGCTTCATCGCTGGGATTGGAAACATCATCTACAATTCTGTGCACATCTAGGCCATATAGTTAACATAATTTATTCCACTTAATTGATTTTATGATAACTGTCAGTTGTTCTTCTTTTGAGTTCAGAGTGACGTTTGGGCAGATACATCATAAGACATAAAAACAATTAAAATACTACAAAATAAATACATTTGGTAACCAAGTAAAACTGTTAAGGTAGAAATTAATACAACCAAGAAATTGGGCCCTTAACACCACCAAATCATCATGGCCTTACAAAAGGGCCATCCTGATAGCTGAAGGGAGAATATTCCAGAGGGCAGGGACTGTGATGAAGCCTTTCTCAAGCTGGTAACTCCTCAACATATTAGATTAAAGCTTCTGTCGTTACTACTGACCCAGCCAAACTGGAGATGCTGACAGCTGCAGTCTAAAATAGGGCTGTGAGATTTTGGTTTGCTGATATTTTTATTTGTTAAACAAATTTATATAGCTGCCCATTTCACCAAAAGCAACTCTGGGCGGTACACAACAATCAGATTTTCCATATTATCTCAGGACTCCGGATGCTTCACAACCCCAAGAGATGTTGTTTGAAAGAAAGTTCACATTGTGTGCTATACCCAAATATAACAATGTTGGATTGACTTAAATATTTAAGAAAATTTATATGACTGCCCAACTCACTCTCAGTAACTCAGCTTGGGCTTCATATGTGGTATGAGCCTAGCCAATTTTGAATTAATTTGCAAATAATTATATGTCAATGCTGCTAACATTGGATGTTCTTGCTTTGACAACATATGGAGATGCAGCCTTTTTCTTTCTTATGCTTTACTCTTAGAATTAGATGATACTGGGTGAGGGAGAGGAATGTGATGGGAATTAATTAGACATACAATATTGTAATAGTATGTGAATTCAGGGAATTTGTAATAAGATGATAAGGCATGGCAGGATGAAGAACTGGGTGGAAAGCCAGCATTTCAAACTAATTGGAGAATGTGATTTATGACAGTTAGTTGTAGGAGGGAATTGTGCTTTGATCTATGTGCTGAGGGGAGGGGAAGTCAGATTTTGGCTTGGACTATGTAAGTGCCGATGTGTTGCTGCTCGAATAAAGATTCTTTAAGGTAAACAATGCCTCAAAGTTCTTTGAAGAGTTTCATATGTCGGAACCATAACATTAAGCCAAAATCTCCAGTTTTCCTAACTATCTAGGGGTCCCGAACCCCAGCTGCTGTCCCTAGAAAGGAGGGATAAGCTGGCAAAGATTCGGGGAAGATTTCATCATGGACGAAGAGGAAATGCCTGAAGCCAGTACCCCGGCAACAGCTGCTACCCCAGGGGGAGGACAGCGACAGCTGGCTCGCCGGTGCAGAAGGAGCTTTTTCAAGCCTCCCAGCTGGGGAGAGCTACCAGGTCGTCTGCCACTGAGGACTCAGGTGAGTGGAAATATCTGCCTGCAGCTAGTTGTCAGTCACTGGAGAGGCTGGTGGAAAAATTTGAGGGGCTAGAAATGAGAAGCAGAGAGCAACCTTCCCATTCCCCATGTGTCAGAGATTAGGATGATCGACGGGGCAGCCTTCAACTCCTGCTGATAGGAACACCCAGCCCCTCCTTCGCAGATCAGGAAGCCTTCCTGTCCCTGAAGCCCCCTACCAGGTCCTCCAGCCACACAGAGGGAGACACTCCAGTCCCCGCCCCTTCAGAAGCCCCGACCGCCACCGATGATGTGAGGGCCTCGGCAGTTGCCGGGACAACCAATCCCCAGACCGATGTGCATACTGATCACCCAATCTGGACCCCCTGCAGCAATGGGGAATAGAGCAGCCCCTGCAGGTGGGAGATCAGCAATCTCTGAGCCTGCAGCAGCTAATAGGGGCCTTGCAACAACTGGGAGTGATGCAGAGGCCAGAAGACCAGCAACCGGTGGGAGGACAGCCGCAGCAAGGGGGATGGTCACCACCCCAATGTACAGCAACCACTGAGGGGTCTGCAGATGATGGAGTTCCAATACAACCCCCTCCGAGGCTGCAGGGGGCCCTACAGCAGTTGAGGATGCCACAGCTCCCAGCAGACCAACAGCAGGGGGAATTGCAACAGACCCCAAATGTGCCACCCCTGGAAATGCAGCAGCAGCCAGGGTGGGGGCCCCATCAGCAACTGGGAGTGCAACAACCACAGTGGGGGCCCCAGCAGCCATTGAATTAGCAGCCAGATTGGGGCCAACAGCAACTGGGGGTGCAACAACCACAGTGGGGAGCCCAGCAGCCAATGATTGCTCCACCATTCAGAGCAACCTTCGATGGGGACCCAGAGAAGCTGATTTTTTTTCTCAACCAAGTGCGCTCTCATTTGAACCACTGGGCCTATCTCTACTCAGACCCAGCCATTATGGTCGATGTGATTGCGTCCAGCTTAGAGGGAGAGGCATCCGAATGGCTGAACAACTTATATAATGAGCAAGCCCCCAAATTGGAGGACCCCCACCTCTTCCTCCTAGGACTGAGAGATAAGATTTGAGGACCCATCCATTGCCCTCAAAGCAGAAGAACAAATCCATAAAATAAAGCAAGCTGGCAGGCGTGCCCTGGAGTACTCTGAGAGTTTCCCTAACATATGCTTTTGTTTATGCTACAGGATCTGTCCTTTTTGTAAGGGGGGTCAGATGTCAACGCTGCTAACATTGGATGTTCTTGCTTTGACAACATATGGAGATGAAGCCTTTTTCTTTGTTATGCTTTACTCTTAGAATTAGATGATACTGGGGGAGGGGAGGATGAAGAACTGGGCAGAAAGCCAGCATTTCAAACTAATTGGAGAATGTGATTTATGACAGTTAGTTGTAGGAGGGAATTGTGCTTTGATCTATGTGCTGAGGGGAGGGGAAGTCAGATTTTGGCTTGGACTATGTAAGTGCCGATGTGTTGCTGCTCGAATAAAAATTCTTTAAGGTAAACAATGCCTCAAAGTTCTTTCAAGAGTTTCATATGTCGGAACCCTAACATTATATTTATTGTATTTCATTTTATATTCAACCAAAGTTTAAATCAAGTTTATAGAAATTGATTTCCTGCAATATGTTAACCTAATTACAAATGAATTTGAATCCAAATCTTCCCATTGTTCCTCACTCTTAATGCAAGGGAAGGGCAACTTCCTACTGTCAAGGCAATTATTTCTGACATACCTTGAATTTTCTTCTGCAGAAATTTAGATAAGTCCAGTCATAAAAAACTGATTCAGGTAATATGAAAATTCCAGAACGTTCCCTCTGCATCTGTTATGCTAACCAAAAATGTAGGCTGGGTACAAGAAGAAAATCTAACAAGGAAAGATTTAGAGGGCATGATAGGTAGAAGTCTCTTTGTAAATCATTGTTTTGTGACTAGCATACCAACCATATTTCTAATCTGCACACAGTGATCTTTCCTATTACTGGGCTAGCTGAACCTGAAAGTGCTCCCATTCATAAAATCATTCATGTTTGCTATTTGCATCTGATAGAAAATTCCCTGTTCTTTCGCAAAGATTTATTTTTATTTATTTATTTATTTTATTTAAGAAAATTTGTATGGCCGCCCACCCAATCTCAGTGACTCTAGGCAGCTTACAAAAATAAAAACCCAATATACAAACAATAAAAACAATAACCTCCACCCCCTTTTTGGAGCAAATTGGTGACCTTCATGCATATAGGGCAGTGGTGGCGAACCTATGGCACGGGTGCCAGAGGCGGCACTCAGAGCCCTCTCGGTGGGCACGTGCGCCGTCGCCCCAGTCCTAGGCCTTCAGCTGGGTTTTATAAAAGCTTTTTGCTTTAGGCCTCCGCCACCATGTGCAAAAAAAAAAAAGGTTCAATCAATCAGTCAATTTCAACTTCTCGCAGGAAAAAAAAAGATCTTGCAAAGTTGGAATTCATTGATTGGACTTTTTAGTCCCACCCAGTCTGCCGTTACCACCGCAACCACACCCACCCAATGGGCCACACCCACCCAATGGGCCACACCCACCCGGCACCCCACGATGCATAAGTGGGTTTTGGGTTGCAGTTTGGGCACTCGGTCTCTAAAAGGTTCGCCATCACTGATATAGGGGATTCAAAGCAAAATCAAATCTGGAGATCAATCTCCTGGTCCACTGAATGCAGATTCTGAGATGAAAAGGGGATGAAGAGTTCTAAATGTTACGAGTCAGTTAACATTCAACTGCTTAATGACATTCATAAAGATGTGCTGAGTCTGACACTAAATTTGGAAGCAGCCATAACAATCTGTAAGGCAGTGATTTCTAGTTAATTCAGTAATTCTTGGGATCTCCACCACCACGTTTCGTATTGTATTGTTTTTAACTTGGATTTTGGTACAAGTTCTTATATTGCATCTTTAGCCAGCCGAACCAACAGGTTGAAGAACAGCTTTTATCCATGGGCTGTCAGGCTTCTGAATGGGACATAACTTTATAACTTTATGCATGACAGACTCGTGAGGCCGGCGTGATGTGCAATTAGTTCACAGGGTGAAATAAGTTGGGGGGGTTGTAGTCACCGAGAGTTTGTGGTGAGGGGGGACACAGAGGGAGGCTCAGCCAATTTCACTGTATATATGTTATACTTTGATAATAAAGGGTTTATTATTATTATTTAAAATGTTGTACTGTCTGCCTTTACAAATTTATAATATATGGATTTGGATTATCTGCAAAAACTCCAAACAAAAATAAGCCCTTCCCCTTCTATACTCAATATATAATCCCTCAGGGATTATATATTTACCATTTTGAAAATTTACCATTTTCAAACCTTCACACAATTACTAAATCTCTTTATCACATCATTTCTACTTTATTTCCAAAATCCTGTATTAATGTTATTTTCACTATTCAATCTTCCCTTTCCTCTAAAAAAAATAAATATCAGTAGACATAATATAGTGTGCTCAAGGTAAGATCTTGGAGAAAGTAACTTGCTTTATACCTGGAGGATCAGGTTTTAAAATTATCTTTTATATAAAATATTTCATTATTTCTTTGAAACCATTATGGAAAAAAGTAGAAGAAAAAGAAATACAATACATATAAAAAAGGACACAAATAGGAACACACGCCAGGATACTGTGTAGTGTTATCTATAATATATGGATATTTATGCCTATGAACTGTTGAAGGAAAAGACTTCATCATGGTTCAGTCCAAGCTGGGAATAAACAATATGGCGACTGCTTTAGAAAGAAGGTTGCATTTTTTTGAAGAGGAGAACCAGACAGAAAGATGACTCTGGAGGAAAAGAGAACGAGCACATGTAGGGAGTGGGTTTTTATACCTTCTTGAGCCTTTTGTTTGGAGTTGTTCCTGTGGCATGAACTTTGACCTGAGTCTGAGTGTGCCTTTCTGGTATTCTGATGGTGGTGGGTTAATTCTATTATGTCTCAAAGGTCAATCCTGCTTCCCTGTGGCTGTGGCTGATGACTCTTAGATTTTTGGTGTGAGGGATTGTTGATTCTAGGGATCTTTCTTCCTAATCCCAGTTTCCTGGCTCCAGTCTTTCTGACAAGATTATCACATCTGCAATTCTGCACACTTGGTTTCTGTTTGGGACAGAGAGACTTGGGGTGGGGTTGGTTTCTGCTTTTAAAATCCTTTAGGGAAATATATTCTGCCTTTTAAATATTTCCAAAAATATTTCTTTCTCTGGGGGGTGGGTGCTGACTTCCCATAGAACATTTGACTGTTGCTCTACTAGGAGCAATCTCAGTGATTTGCAGTCACCAGATATAAGGGAATAATAAGAATTTCGCAACTTTCTTTGTCATCATGGGGAACAGTTATCTCAGTTTTAATTGGCATCTGTTTAGGGGAAGATCTATAAAGATAAAACGGGAAGTACAGCAGCATGTGTGTTACCAATTTATTTTCTCTGACTAATCTTACTGAAAAGGATAACAGTAATCTGTCCAGATTTAGGAATTCTACAATACTTCCATTCCAAAAGCTCAAGGAAGCTTTTGCTACAGGCAAGTGAGAAAGCTCTTCAATCTACTCCATGGAAGATCCCTCAAACACCTTGTGAATATGAAAAATTCAGGTTAAGGCCAATCTAATAAAATTCATGAGTTATCCCCAATTATTTTTCATAGTCAGTATGAATATGGTTTGATTTTTACTTTTATCCAAGAGTCAAATTTTAAGTTTCAAATTGCTGGTTGACTCCCAAACTTTTATTATATGAAAATAATGTAATAAATGCTACTATACCTAATAGTACCATGAACAATACTAATAGATAACAATAATGGTGGCTTCATAAAAGTAGGTAGCATTTAAAATATGAAAAATGTAAGGTTTTCATCTGATCAGTATCAACAAGGGCACTGATAATTGGTTAAATATTGGTGAGGTGGGTGAATACAAGTAGACATATCTTTCCTAGGGTGAACATGAATACAGGGAGATATAGCTTTCCTGGGACAGAGGAGATAAGACAACGGGGAGGGTAGAAGATCACAGACACACAATACAAAGCATGCTGGTAAATGAAGCCAGTTACAATACAGGAGATAATAATAACTCAAGGCCACTTTTGCTGGCAGCTGACCATCCAACCTTGGAAAATTGTAGGAGATGTCCAGGCAAAGCCCAAAGGTGGGGTCAAATGTGTCATCAGTTTGGAATCTTTATGCAGCCATAAGAGACCTAAGTCCAGCCCTCCATGAATTGTGTTGACTCTTATCTAGTGCCAATTTGACTTGACCATTAGTAGATCAAATTCTTGTATATAGGTAGTACGTAATAAACTTTTAATTTGTGCCTGACATTAACCTGGTCTTGTAGCTAGCCACCTCACTTTGGCATGGAGGTCTACAGAGACCCCAAAATATTAATTGACTCCAATTGACTTTTAATCATTTATTGACCATTTACTGACCCCCAGACATTTACTGACCCCCCCTTAACCCCCACTTGTTTGTCCAGCTCTATTAACCCTTGGGGTCAAAATTGGGGACCTTATCCTGATTACCTTATCAATTCCAACACTGCAGAACAATGACTTGAAAAAACAGATTGTTGATTTAGCCCTTTCTTAAAAGGCTGCAAAATATATAGTAAGCATATGTGTGCATACAGACAGGCATGTTACAATTAAAATTTCCTTGATTTATATATTGTCTTTTTCACTGAAATGAACACTCAATTGTATCCATTTACAATTATCAAAAATATGGATCACTCCTAGATTCTGTAGCTGGGAATGACACAAGAGAAGTTCTTCTTTCATGTGCCTGATAGATTGGCCTCCACTTGGAAAAACAAGTAATCCTACCCTTTGACCTATGCAGGAATCCACTACTTTAGTAATCCCATCACACAGCCATCTAGTCTCTTTTTAAATACCTCCAGCCAGTGGAAGGGGACAGTGGGGATTAATGCTTTAGTCCCCATCACAACCCCAATTCCAGATCAGTGTTGCAATTTGCCAGGAATAAACCAGGTCCCATTTGTTTCATCTTCTAACTAAAGAGTACAATCATAAAAGATTTAGTCTAGCATCTTGTTTAGTGCAGAACCTGTAACACAAGACCCAACTCTTAAAGGCACAGAACAGATGCATAGCAATCCATCAGATCTCTAAAAACTACTATGATGTCTCCCCTATTATTTATACTTTGTTGATGAATTTACAAATCTGCTTCTCATGCCACACAGCTCTTAAGATTTTCTGCCCATGAAAATAGTGAGGACAGCTAAATTCAAGGGCACACAATTTAGTCATGCATTTTGTTTACTAGATACAGGACTTTTGCTTATTTGGAGTGAACAAAAAGGGCCAGTCCAGCGATATATACTTCACTTTCCATCATGGGGTAGTAAATGATAGAGGAGCACCAGCTTGGGGAGTGATTAGCTACATAAGGACATCTCATGGTGTCAAAAGGATTTCTGGTAAACGGTCAAATGCTTTAGGACAGCGATATACACTCGTCAGGGGACACGATGGCTCAGCAGATAAAGACGCTGCATTTGTTAGCAGGAACGTTGACAGCTGGGATTTGAGACCCGAGCGCTGCACGATGAAGTGAGCTCCCATTACTTGCCCCAGCTCCTGCCCCCTAGCAGTTCAAAAGCATGCAAATGCTAGGAGAGAAATAGGTACCCCTTTGGTGGGAAGGTAAGCATCTTTGGACAACACTGGCTCCCTCTGCTGAGAAACAGAGATGAGCACTGCCCCCTAGAGTCACACATGACTGGACAGGGGAAACCTTGACCTTATGCACTCCTCAAGATCACTCGCACTGACTGTCTGCAAGTTCTTTTCAAAAATCTGTGATCTTGCCATTGTTCTCTTCAAAAGACAGAAAGTGCTATTGTGGCATGGTCCCTGGAAACCATATAAAAATGAAATATTAGATTGCATGGCATGGCAGGATCAGATGCTCAAAATTAGTTTCATACTCCTTTTATACTTAGCTTGCAGCTGGCAAGCATAGTCAGAGACAGGATCTTTTTAAGGCATGTTGGGAATTGCTCTCATTTCACAAGCCTCTCCACCACCCACAAGCTGAGCCTGTGCTTCAGTTTTTAGCATATTGCTAACTTGCAGCGTATCAACACTTAGGAGGATGTTGAGAAAGTCTATTCTGATTAGCCTGTAGTAACTTGCTATTTGAGAAACTAATGGGAAGCAAACCTGTAGTACTGTTTTTTTTTCTTAAATGGAAGAGAATGGGATTTATTCCTTTCTTACAAAACAAAATTTTAATTTGCATAGGCAGATCCTCAGAGAGTAGCTATGTCCCTCTTACCAAATGATTGGACCTCTGAGGAGAGGTCACTGGCTCAGGAGGCTGAGCAAAAGATGGGGATAATTGTCCTGTAAAGAATTAAAAAAAAGCAACAACATTCATACCGATACTACGGTGTAAGTGGAAAAGCAAATAGAAACATATGTGCATGATTTTGCAGTCTGTGGTATGTGAATTTAAGTTGCAGTGATATTCATTATAAAATACATTTACATGCATGAGACCTGCCTAATTATTTAGTAACCTAAAAGAAACAAATTAGTCATCTGCATTTATAATAAAACCTGATTCTGAGATTCCACCTTAGGCCTGCTAATTGCAGACTAAGCCCTACTGAACTTTGGGACATATTTAGGAGCCAATATGACCTGCTATGCTGCCTCATCATGGTGGGGGTGCGGTTAGTGAAGAACACCAAGAATGAATGTCAAGTATATAATCTCAACAAACAGGCACCACTATTGGTCAACAGCCATATAGCAACAAGAACCTGCTGGTATCTCTTGGAAATTATAGTTTCTACCAGAACTAATGAGCGTTCATAGATTGAGCGATTCCCCAAGCCAGCAAATTAAACAGAAAAGGCATTACAAAAATCCAATTAAAATGAAAAGAAGATAATGAAAACTGGGAGCAGCTTTTTTAAAATACAAGGAATAAGATCACTGCTGTATTCTTGAGGCTCTTTACCTGTTCATCACAGAAGAGGACTGGAAGAGTTTCATAGAACACTTTATAATTATGATTGTCATGATTTATGACGATAATTGCCAGGCTCAATTATATTGAAACTTGAGAACTACCTATCTGACATATGGCCTGGATATTTGAGGGATCACTTATAGCCAATTGTTTCTGCCCATCCAGTAGCCCAGACAATGTGCGCCAGGTTTACCCTCTTAAACACTGTCACATTATGGGGCTGAGGAAATGTGCCTTCTCTATTGTCGCTCCTACATCCCAGAGATATGAACTGCACTTTCTCCTAGAGTTTTAGAAAGCTCTGAAAACATGGCCTTGGTCCCAGGCTTGGGGCTGATATATTATTGTTTGTCTCTCAGGTACATTTTGTTTGATTTTTGTTTTCTATAAGTTTATTTCAACCTGGGCTGTCCCTTTCATTTGATGCTTTTATCTAGTTTTTATGGTTTTGTAGTTTTGTATGCTGCCCAGAGTCCACTGGTATTGAGCAGTCTAATACAGTGGTTCTCAACCTTTAATTCACCATGGACCCCCCCTTTAAATACCTTTTTGTATTATTATTATTATTATTATTATTATTATTATTATTATTATTATTTATTATTATTATTATTATTTATTAAATTTATATACCGCCCTATCTCCCTTGCGGGACTCAGGGCGGTGAGTAGCCATGGACCATGGCCATGGACCCCAAAGATTAACTCTAGATTTAAATCATAACATTTCTTCAAGCCTTCATTAACCTCTGTAACATCACAGACCCCACAGGTTGAAAACCAGTGGCCTAATACATTCAGATAAATACAAATAGGGATCCCCTATATTACCAGCCGATTAGTCTACTGAGTGTATCCAGCAAGCTATTGCCTTTTTACTAGCTATTGGACTGGCTGAAATGGGGAAAAATCCTGGTGGATGAGCTAGTGGGATTTAGAGAGGGCAGAATTACAATGGATCAGCATACCATCCTGCAATTCTTGAAAAATACACATGAGAACTGCAACACTTTTTATGCCTTGCTTTTATCAATGTAAACGTAGCCCTCAATTCCATCCTTAAGTCTATAGACCAACAGCTACTTAACAGAGTGCTGCATGAAAACAGTTATTTTTATTACATTTAACTTGAGTGACTTACTGTCTTAGTCCAAATATTCCAATCAGACCAAAGGTGAAATGGGGTGCATTTTAGGCCCTCTATTTTTTTTGTGTGGTGTGTGCGCGCGCGCATATATCACTTCTGGTTTGATTGGGATAGATAGATAGATAGAGAGAGAGAGAGAGAGAGAGAGAGAAATGCTGCTTTCACAGAATTCTGCAAGAAGAAAGGACTTACAATTACTCTAAGGCTAAAATCACGTATGCTGTTAACTTCAACGGCAAATAGGAACCAACAAAAAAGAACAAGTAATTAACAACTCTTCCTAATGTTAATTATTAAAGAGTAACAGTTCTCCCTCTTCACCGTTCTCCTCCTAACCTTAAGCCGCCTTTGACCAAGAGGACTGCCACAAGTTTTTTTGCAAGTGGAGAAATACTTTTCATTTTCAAGCAAATTTGCGATACCGTACAATTGACTCTCAAACAGATTAGGGGTTTGGTGGGAAAGAACGACTCCTTCAAGTAAATTAATGAACATTCCCCCCCCCCCCCACGAGAGGCACCGAATGAAGACCGGAAGTTAGAGGTATTCCTCTCTTTCCCCCCTTTATCTCTACGGTAACCGCATTACGACTTTGGGTCGTGCTTGAAGCGCCCCGCCCCTTTCTTTTCTTGACCTATCAACGCAACATAGCGCTGCTTTTGACGCCTGCGCCTTTCTGCTGGAAGAGCAAGCCAATGGAATTGCTTCGGAAGAGAACGCTGAAGCAGGAAAGAACGCTACGCACGCACGTAGCGCACGCACGTACGTACGCAGGGGCTGAACAGAACTTTCATTTCACTCCTTCCGCCAGGTAATAAGCGTTTCTGTTTTTTGCACGTGTGAGCGCTCGATCGCTTGCGATAACTTGTATGTCTATTAATTTATTTGAGCCAAAATATTTTCTTCCAGTTTGGGAACAAGTTTTTAATGGCAATTTAGTAAAACAACGATCAGAAATCTTAGAGCAAAAGAAAAGGAAAACATCTCGGGTGGGGAATCCTGTAAATTGAATGCCGTGACGTACTTTCTTTTTGCTGCACATTTTTCTGCTTTCTCTTTCCCCCAAATCAGCTAAAAATTCAGGTCGGGATGTTTTGGGTGCAGAACTCTGCAAAGACAACTTTTCCATCGTTTAAAAGCAGTTTTTTTTAGTGACAAGGATATATCAGGTCATATTTGGGAGAGATGTCTGCCAGGGTACAATTAAATAAGAACTGATACCTAACAACAACATTTTCTTCCTCATTCCCATTCATGGTTTGTGTAAGAAGTTAAGATGTTAGGTCTGTATGGGATCCTTGCTTAGCTTTTCATTCACTTCCAAAAAAATCCTATTTCCGTTATGATCACTCTGGATTTTTTTTTCCTTTTAGGTATAAGCACATGATTAACAAAATTACAACACTTGCTAGTACTTTTTAAAATCACATCCCTTTCTTGCTCTTTGACCACATTGTTCACAACTCACTTTCCATCCATATACATTATAAAATATAACTTTCAGACCCATTTTTTGCAGCCATCATTTTTTAATATCCATTTTTTCTCATCATTTTGAAGCAAGGCAATTTGTATAGCACCTCTTGGCATTGTCTGAAAGCAGTTGTGTTTTTTTCTACAATTATGCAGTTCCTTTCTACAGCTGAAGTGTGATCCAAAAGAAATGTGTTTGCTTCAAGGAGTTGGTTTTAGATATTATATGCATGTCCCTGGAATCTTTTCCTTTCAGATCAAAAATATTGCAGAGCTTTAGACTGTTCTTACTGTCAGAATCATTCTTACATTCTTTACAGAAATCTGCTGTGGTTAGGAGAACCTATGGTACAAATC